CCCTGTGGCCGGGCAAAGCTGCACTGTGTTCTGGGGTTGGTGAGACTGCAAACCCTAGGTGCTGGGTGCTCCAGCCCAAGGTCACCCCAACTGCAGGGAGGAGAGAGGAGCACAGAGTGGAGGAATCCCACAGAGATTTTCTAGGAAGCCTGGGAACCACTTCCACACAATGCTTTGCATAAATTTACGTGGCAAAGAATATTCTTTGCATGCTGTGTTCCAGAGGCTCCGATTCCAAGGAGACCAGAATGCCAGACGTGACTCAGGAGGTTGAAGTGTGCTTTCCTTTGGGATCAGGGAGGGGAGTGAATAGGGAGGGGCTGCAAGGAAAGGGAAGGCTCCCCAGGGTGACCAGCTACCCTGGTTTGTCCAGGACTGGGGGTGTCCCAAGGTGCAGAAATTTTACTGCCAAAATGAGGAAAGTCCCATGTAAACCGGGACAAGTAGTTCACCCCACATCCATCTTCCACCTCAAACAGTGCCTACAGCTGCACTCTACCTGCCTGGCTGTTGTGTCCATGTCATAGCAGTGGCACTATTGCTGATTGAGCACCAGCTGTGTGCCTTTGCATTCAGAACACCCTCCTTCAGGAAAGCCAGTTGAGAAAACAGTGCAGAGGGGGTCTAGTTTCTGGTGTGAACAGTTAATATTCTCCCTGTGCAGCATCTCTACCTTGATGTGAATACACGTACTACAGGGCCTGTCAGTAACCAGCAGAGGCCAGGAAGGGGCCAGAGCTGGGTGAGGGGCACACAGGAACGAGTCAGTTTGGGTGAGTGGGCAGTCAGGAGAGGTGTCCTGGAGGAGGTGGAGTGGGGAAGAGAGCAGGAGGTGACTCTGGCATCACTGAGGGCACACAGAATGTTGGAGAATGTCTAAATCTAGGAGCAGGGGGCTGCATGTGTGGGATAGGATAGAGGGAGGCACTGCCATGGTCCAAGCAGGGGCAAGGAGGCCTGTCCCAGGGCAGTGATGGCGGGTGAGGATTGGAAGCTTGTGGCCAGTGCCAGAAGACAGGGTGCCAGGAGGAGCCAGTCTGGAAAGGAAGATTCACAGTCTGCTCCCATCCTGTGCTCTCAGGAACCTTCCGGGTGCAGGGAGGGACGCATCCAGTTCCAGAAGCTGATGAACCTGGGGCAGGATGGAGTTGGGGGTGGGGCTCTAGGGTGAAGCCCAAAGGACGGGGAAGCCTGGCCCAGGAAGAGTGCATAGCCGGATGGAGCAGTCCCAGCCTGATGAGCTGCGGTAGGGCTGGTGCAGATGGCCAAGCTGATGCATATGGAGCAGCTGTCCTGGGGGGTGGAGAATCATGAGGTGCTGGCATCTAGGGGATGAGCGACTGTGGTCTTACAATCAAGCCAGGTCCAGCTTCCCCAAACGCTGGGGCTATGTGAGACCAAGACCAGGGGCCCCTGCTTACCTATTTTCCCCTGCAACCTTCCACAGCCAGGGGATGGGTTCTGAAATCTGCAGGCCTGACATCCTAGGCCTGAGAGGTGTGGCTGAACCTGAGCACAGAGCATCCTCAGACCACCCCTGAGCCCTCTTCACCCTGGCAGCACCGGAAACCCTGCAGCCAGGACTCAGCCAGGCTTGGCCACAGCAGGGCGTGGGCCCTGAGCTGCTAAAGGAAGAGCAGGGCTGGAGCCAGGTGCAGGTGGCTGGAGAACAAGGGAGAAAGCAGATCCCACCCACCCACCAGGAGCTGCCTGGGGGCCCCAGAGACAAAGGACACTCTTGGTAGGTTTACTTTGGAACATGAGGCTGCCCAGCTGCTACAGCAGAGAGCTTCATCTGGAATCTGGTTTCAGCAGCTCCCCTGGACAGACTATACCCCTCCCAGGCCAGGGCCCCGAGGGGGTGGATGCTCTGCTGGAGGCCAGCCGGGATAGGATCTTCCTTAGGACCTAGGGCTTCTTCACCAGGCCTTGGATGGAGAAGATGGGAGAGGTTATGGAAGTGCTTGGACATAGGACATCTGCCTCTCTGGTCTTTGTCCATCCCACAGGGCCACTGCAAGACTCAGAACGGAATTTCTCAGGTCCAAGGGTGGGGCAGACTGGGGTCCCAATCCACACCCAGAAATGACACAAAGTCCAGGTAAGTCAGAGCCAAAGGCCAGGGTAGAGGCTGAAACCACTCACGATAAAGAGCGTTATAGAATCCCAGAAAGGACTTGGAGGCTCGCCTCATCCTTCTTTACAGATGAGAAGCTAAGGTGCAGAGGAGGGGACCCCACGGTCAGCATCTGAGCAAGGACCAAGCCAGGGTCTTAACCTTTCTCTACCAGTTGAATGAAGCCCATCTCAGAAGCACATATTTTGAGACAAAATACAACACATAGGATTTAAAAGGAAACCACCTATATTGAAATACAGCTCTCAGAACACAGAAACCAATTTTTGATAGATAGTATATGTCTTTATTCATGTTTTAAATATTAAAATCTAGCAGCAAATCTAAGTGCTATAATTTTGAAGTCGTGATGAGTATTAATGTTATTTGAGAGGCCAGCAGCAACTGTAACACGACAGGGAAATATCTGCAGTTTCTTTTGGTCACAATTTCTGCTTTGTTGCCTACATTCACAACTGAAGGAAATGGTAAATTTGAATGAGAGGTTAATGAGAAGGAGATGTGATTTCTCCCCTAAATCCCTCCACCACCCCTTCACGGAGTCTGTTAAGAAGGGCCCCCTGAACTATTAATACATAGACAGGCAAAACTAATCTATGCCATTAGCAGCCAGGAGAGTGGTTCCCTGGGCAAAGGAGGGTGTTTAGTGACTGGAGGGCAGCCTAAGTCTGAGAGACTGGGAGCATTTTCTCTCTTTTTCTGGGTGCTGGTTACCAGGTGTGTTCCGTTTGTGGAAATTCATCCATCTGTACACTTATGTGCACGTAACTGCGTGAATCCTTTGTTTAATACAAATTAAAAACACACCTTTACTGGAACAGACGTATGTGCAGGTGTCAGCTTGCACCCGCACAGGCGCACTCCCTCTCTCTCTCACACACAAACCTTGCCAGTGTGTACCAGTGAGCCTCTGCAGATCCATGGGCGTGCATGTGTCCCCACAACCCTTGCAGGCATATGGACACAGATGGATACAGTGAGACAGAGAACACTATTTTTAGGAAGTCAGTCTAAGCAAAAGAGGTGGCTTCCCAATTTATGGAACTGATTGCTCATAGCGGGGAGGGTTGCCCTGTAAGAAGCTGCTGTCATCCAGACTTTTTTTTTTTTTTTTTTTTTTTAAATAAAAAGACAAATGAGTTTTATTGTTTCTGTAAAAATAATGCAAGCTCATTTTAAAGAATTCAAGCAGTGAAGACAAGTATAAAGAAAATAGTTTAAAATTAACCCAAATTTCCACAAGCTAAGAAAAAGAAGTCCTCACTCACATGCGTTGATGAGTGTTACGGATGTCTGTCTGTTCACACAAAGATGGAAGGGAGACAGGGAAATGCTTTTATAGAGTGGAAACCTACTCCCTCACTTGCTATTTTTAACAAAGATGTTCCTTTAACTTTACTTGAATGAAACAAGAAAAAGACATAGAGTGGCTCTTAACGTGAGAGTCCTGGGACCTCTGTCCTGCCTCCCTTCACAAATTTCAATCCACACTTCCTCAGGGACCAGAGGCGCCCTTGTGAGGTCTGAGTGTGTTGTGTTCGCTCACTGTTTACCTGTCTCTTGGCCAGGTGCCTGCTTCACAGCAATCCAGGGCTCAGGGCTGCGGCCCCAAAGTCCAGGCCCTTTGGCGGCCATGTGCAGGGGTTGGTATGGCAGCAGCTCGTTGGGGTCATCAGTGACGTGTTTTGCAGGAGTAAGATCAAGGCAAAGCTGACCCTCGCGAGGGAAAAGGATTTTGTTCTGGCAGAGATGTCCAACAGGTGTCCACCGTGCCCTCTTGAACGGGTGCCCACCATTCCCCGGTTTGATGTGGTCATTAGCGATGCAGCCTCCCGGCTTGGTGTCACAGTCAGGAGCTGTTCTGACCACATCCTGTTTTGGTGGGGCAGTTGGGACTGCATTCTTTTGCCTCGGTGTCATAGGCAGAGTGTGTTCACACCAGGTTCTGGATTGTTTGAGGCCACCAGGGGCCACATTCTCCCGGTTTGGCGTCACATGCATGTGCCGGCTGGATGTCCTCGCTGATGAGTGGTCACCGTTTTCCGGTTCTGCTGTCACTTGGGATCAGCATTCATTTGTTCTCATTTGGGAGGAGGGGAGCAAGGAGCAGTGTGAGGAGCCAGAGATACTCCATCAGCTCTTCCCTTTTTTTTTTTTTTTTTTTTTTTTGCAATATGATTCAATTTATTGCTAGAATTTTATTTGGTTATTACAAAATCTGTAAGCATGTATGTATTTTTAAAAGGGATGGGGGAGATGGAAGGCAGAGTTACCTAAAGTTCAAGTTACCTAAAGTGCCAGGCTAATTTTAACCTTTCCAAGGAAGGGAAATAGCTCAGATGGGCAAGGGAGGCGTTGCCCATTTTTTGAGCCAGATTGTTTCGGAAGGTTTCTGCACCCTGGGGATTTCCTTGGGAGCCTCTCCGAAGGGGCTCCACCACAGCTGTGTACACCAGGGCACCAACATCTGGATGACAACTCCAAGCTGAGAAATGTCTCAAGTGATGACAGCTAAGAAACCAAAAGATGCAAGTGTTTCCTCTTGTGTGGAATGGGACAAAAAGAAGGTGCTTGGATGACACAGTCACTCTTGCCTGCTTGAATTCAGACATGCTTGTTAGGAGGGGAAAGAGGAGGTGACCCTGCTGCCTGTCCACATGTGTGCCCCGTAGCCTGGGGGGCTTTGGGTTTACCCACGCCAGTGTTGCCCAGGTGTGCCTGTGGAGTTGTTGGCATCCTGGGGTCTGGAGCCTCTCTGCAGATGGTGTCCTTCCCTCCATCAGCACAGCCACCCCCAGGAGGTCTGCCCACCCTGCCCTCTGTCCCTGGGCATAGCATCAGGCCCATTGTCTGTGTCTTCCAGCTTCCCCGCAGGCAACGTGAGGAGAGCCTGTGCCCAGAAGCAGGATGAGAAGATGGCAAACTTCCTATTACCTCGGGGCACCAGCAGCTTCCGCAGGTTCACACGGGAGTCCCTGGCAGCCATCGAGAAGCGCATGGCGGAGAAGCAAGCCCGCGGCTCAACCACTTTGCAGGAGAGCCGAGAGGGGCTGCCTGAGGAGGAGGCTCCCCGGCCCCAGCTGGACCTGCAGGCCTCCAAAAAGCTGCCAGATCTCTATGGCAATCCACCCCGAGAGCTCATCGGAGAGCCCCTGGAGGACCTGGACCCCTTCTATAGCACCCAAAAGGTGACTACCACCCACCTCCAGCCCTGCCTACCCTTCTGTGCAACTCCCTTGTCAATGGAGCAGAGAGGAAAGAGGGCCTGGCCTCCATATGGGGCTCTGTTTAGGGGGGCTCACCAAGCTTTGGGGGAATGAGTCACTGGGGATTTATATTCCAATCACCTTAATTTTGGAATTCGGGAATAAAAGACAGGAATTATGCAGCCTGGGATGCTGGTTTGGTGTCATGAAGAAGAGAGGGTAGCCTCAGGGAAAACGTGCCTCCTGTGACTACCTTCTTTGGGAATTACCTGTGGTTAGATTTTCACCCCTGAAGGACTCCTCCCCGTTGTGTGGTGTGTGTGTGAATTGGAGTCAAGCCCTGAGTTCTGGCCTGCGTTTGGGCCCTGCCTGAGTTTGGGCCACAAAGCATAGCATGTGGTCCCTTCTCCCTACTGGGGACAGCATGTAGTCCCCACACCCATGAACTATGCATGGCTATGCTGACTGGCTCAGGCCACAGCCACAGCAGCAGTTTCCTGAGCTTTGAGGGCTGGCAACGGGACCAGGAAGACCAGTGGAAAATCTGAGAGGGGTGGAGAGGGCAGTGATCACTGGGGAATTTTTGGAGGAGGGTGGCGTGTGACATTCTGCCATTGTCCCTTCTGATCATAGGGAAGGGAAGTGGCTTTTGTCCACTAGGGCAGGGAGACTCAGGCTTCCTCCTAGCATGGCTCCGACCCAAGAGGTAACTGCCCCTGTCTGAATCCCCTGCCCTGGCCTCCCTCCTCCAGATCTCAGGCCCGTTTGTGCCCCAGCCCTGCACCCTACCACATACAGAACTCCTGCAGAGGCTTGGTCTCCAAGCTGCCCACGCCTCTGGGCCTTACTTCCAGAGGAAGGTGGATTTGAATTTGGGGGAGGTCTTTTTCCCAGAAGGCTGAGTACAAGGAAGACAGTGGCCAGGCACAGTACTGCAGTCAGCACCAGGCTGAGGAAGCTCGTGGGGGTCAGACAGGGCTGGTGTGGCCAGTGCAAGAATGTGACTGCAAGGGTGTGTGACTGTGGTTTAAGACCAAGCGCCTGGGGATGAATCTGGGGTGCATCTTTGGGTGTGCATGCGTGCATTGGATGTGTGAGTGGGTGTGTGTGTGAAGTAAAAGCCCACCCAGTCCACATAAACAGGTGGGGGAGGAGGCCTTGAACTTGGTCCTGCTCCCAAGCCCCCAGCTGAACTTTCCCTTGGTACAAGTGACTCCAGTGGAGTCCAGGCAAGGTTGGGGCCACAGCTGGGATCAGAGTGAGGCTGGAAGGTGGGCTTAGTCAAGGTGGGCGGGCCTAGGTCATGGTTGGTGAGAGATGGAAGTAGGAATTGGGGTTGGGGTTAAGGCCACAGCTGGTAGTAAGTCAAGGTTATGGGGAGAGGATGAGTGGCAGTTAGGCTGAAGTTAGCTGGGACAGGCAGGTCCATGGCAGGTGGACCCGACTGAGATTGAGGTCAAGACTGGGCTGGGCTTTTGGGGGCTGGTGGCAGCTGAGCATGTGAGGGGTCAGGGGCACCATCTCTTCTGGCCTTGGGTCTGGGAACGCTTGAACAGCAGCTCCAGGGATGATCCCGGCCTCTCACTTTCTGTTTCCACTTGCTGATCCCTGGCCACACTGCCTGCAGCCTCACAAGGCAATGGAGGCACCACAGCAGAACTTTTGGTCCTAATCTATCCGGTCAGCTTGTCTCTCCAGACCAGATTAGGTAGAACCTTGTCCCACCAGCTCATTCGGCAGGTCAGTGGACTCACTGCCTTGCCCATGGGTGGAGGTGAGGGAGGTCTCGGGGGAATGTCAGGTTGTGATGTTCCCCTAGACCTCTGTGAGGCCACAGAGCTGTGACCACCACACACCGGTGCAGGTGGGGAGGCACTGCTGTCCTCAAGGGCTGCTTGGGCACCTGATGTGCACATGTCTCAGCATTCAGCTCTCGTTGTCCGCTCCTGTGCCCCACTGTGCTGTGTAGAAAGGATCTTCCAGAAGCTCAGGGAGGGGTTTCACTGCTGTTCATGATCCCCTGGAGGGAGGCAGTAGGCTGTGTCCTGTGGGATGGGGCCGACATTTGTCCTGGACTCCAGGAGACAGGGTCCCAAGAAAAGCTCTCGGGGGACTGCTTCTGCATTTTCCTTTTCTCTTCTCCTCACCTGTAAGTCCTCCCTGCTGACCCAGCTTCCCTATCACATCCTCCCTCCCATTGGGCCTGGCGGGGACCCCACGCAGGGTGAGGAGGGGTCAGCTAAGGGAGAAGGGGAGGGAGGAGGCATCCCCAGGTCTGCTGAGCCTCTGCTGTGACAACAGCTGGGCAAGGACTGGAAAAGGTCACTTCTTTTTGTGACTATAATTTTGAAACTAAATCTCAACCAAACTGACATTCCCCTGAGACCTCCCTCACCTCCACCCGTGGGCAAGGCAGTGAGTCCACTGACCTGCCAAATGTGCTGGCAGCCTCCCCTCCCCGTCTCCTCCCTCAGTCCCTCTCCTCCTCCTCCCACCCCACCCCTCAGCCACAGTCCAAGGGCTCTGAGCCAAAAGCTGCCCCCAAAAGCCTTTCTACACAAGGGCCTAATGCTACTGTCTGTCCCCAGACTTTCATCGTACTGAATAAAGGCAAGACCATCTTCCGGTTCAGTGCCACCAACGCCTTGTATGTCCTCAGTCCCTTCCACCCCATCCGGAGAGCGGCTGTGAAGATTCTGGTTCACTCATATCCTTTGCAGTTAATACCTGCTGAGTACCCCCCGGGGGCCCACACTGGGGATGTGCACGGGGTGCTGCCCCCAGCCCACCTGCATTCTAGTTTAGGAGAGTGGTGCTGATTCCCTGCTGGTCCTAAGACAAACACATGGTCATGACCTGGGAGCTGGTTGGAAATGAAAAACCTCTGACCCTCCTCCAGACCTGCCAAGTCAGCATCTGCATTTGCATTTGATCCCCAGGGGATTCTTGGGCACGTGAAAGTTTGAGAAACCCTCTTCTGATTCTTCAGGAGAACATTCTAGAAGCTAAGCTACTGAGGATCCCAGAATAAATGGCTTCTGTCAGGCTCTGATATTGGCTCCAAATGTCCCTTCCCACCACACCCCCTTGGGCCATCCTTCTCCCCACCCACTTGCAGGGACCTTCGAGCAGGTCACCAGAACTCAGCCAAGGAAAACTCATTTCCCGATAAAGAGGCCTCCAGTTTATTCACATGTGGGCATCTTTCGAGGGCGGCAACACTTGCTTTTTGATTAGGCGTTGACAAAATGTTTGCAGTTTCAGAGTATCTCAAAGAACTCTGGTTAACATTAAATTATATAAACCACAGCTGAAAAAAGCTCCAGCCTGCAGAGGAGAGCCATTGGAGTGATGCAGCGTAATGAGGGACTTACCGGGCTTGGGCCTGAGAGGGGCATCATTTGGGCAGCACACGGCATGGGGCGCCAGCACCTAATCACTCTGTTCTCTGGACTTCAGAGAAGGGGCCCCATAGATGGAGCCTTCCAGGAGGGTGGTGCCAGCTGCAGAGTCAGAGGCATGAGTGTTTCACTGCGAGGACCTGGGCAGGCCTCCCTTTGGCCAGTGGCAACCAGGGTGAGTGCATGCATGCAGGTGGCCCTGCTGTTCATCTAAGTGACGCTGCTAGGCTCAGCAGTGCAACTGACTGTGGGTTTAGTGGGCTGGCCCCACAGAGCTCCCCAAGGTCCCCTTCAGCCCCCTCTCTGAATGGACTTCTTTGAGGCCAAGACAAAGACTTCACTCACTAACCTCCAGCCAAGGTAGGAGGCATCAGGATTACGGATACCTAGTGAGGGACTAAGTAACTGGGACTGAGGCTGGCAGGTCAGGAGCTTTTCCTGTCAGGGCAGGGATGGGGGTTGCTCCTCCTATGGCTCCACTTTCTTCCCACCTGTTCCCAGTGCCTGATCCTGACCCCAGGGGTTCATTGGAGGGGCATGCATAGCAAGTGGTGTCTGCATGCAGGTATGCAGTAAAATGCATGCTTGCTTCCAACCACTGTCTGCTCTCCTCCAGCCCACCCTTGCCTTCCTGGTGGGGTTCCTGAGACAACCCCACATGCAAACCATGGCTGTGGCATGAGCAAGGTGGGAGGCGGACACTGTGGAGAGGGACTGTGTGTCGCGGGCAGCCTGCCATTCACAGCTGCATCTTATTCTGTGGGGCAAGTGTGGGCAAGTGTGTAGATTTCGTCTTGATCCATCCTGAGTTCCCTGTAGGTGTCAGACTCTTTGCTGGACATGCTGGGGTATCGAGCCAAAGAAGACCCATCTGGGCCCTTGGCAATTGTATCGTCCCCTAAAAGTGATAAGGCAGCTTTGCAAATAGTTATCATTTCTGCCAGAGTGTGGTCACAGCCTGGTAAGAACAGAGCAGCAGGAGGAGGAAAAGCCAGCTTTTCTTGCTCTGAGCCTGCCTCCGGCCTCACTCCAGGGGCGTGGCCTCTCTAAAAGCATCCTCCAGCTCTCACCTGGGGCTTCTCCTCCAGGTGTCTAACCAACCCAGCCCTGTTTGGCAGCCACAGAAGCCCTCAGGGATGTAGCAGAAGCTCCAGAGCTCCTGCAAGGGGCTGAGCTGGGTCTTGAGGGAAATGAAAGGTCAGGGAGGCAGGTGGGCAAGGGAGGGAGTGGGGGGCCCTCGAGTGCCCAACCTGGCCAGAGTGTCCATTGAGCAATGGCTCTGAGGCTGTGAGGTGCTGCTTCCACCTGGAAAAACTGGCCCTGAGGGCTCGGAGTCAGCCTCCATCCCCCAGGACAGCTGCCCCAGGGAAGTGTCGAGCATCAGTGAGGACCTGTACTGGGTTCCCAGTGGCTGCCTTGACACTGCTGCTGCCTGGGGATGGGAGCACATTGCTGGACCTCGACGGCGCCACTTGGTGGGCTCAGTGGCACTGGGGGGAAGAAGAGGCCTAGATTTGTGGGGTTTGGGAGCAGCCCCTCTGCAACACTGTTGAGCCTTGACATTGAGTGTAGTGTGTGGACCAGTAGCATCAACTTCACCAGGATGTTGTAGGAGTGGCCAAATCTTGAGCCTCACCCGAGAACCTGTGTTTTAGCAAGGTCCCATGTGCATGCCACCCTAGGGCAGTTGCTTTCAAAAGCCAGTCTGAGGGCCACCTCAGTCTCACCTGGGAAGTTTGTAAAAATGCAAATTCTTAGCTCTTTCCAGACCAGAATTACCAGTGTGAGGCCTAGAAATCTATAAGCACTCCATGAAGTTTTTTTAAATTTGAGGTATACTACTTCATATACCATAAAATTTATCTTTTTTTTCTTTTTTTGGGAGGGGGGTACGGAGTCTCACTCTGCCACCCAGGCTGGAATGCAGTGGTGCAATCTCGGCTCACTGCAACCTCTGCCTCCCAGGTTCAAGCGATTCCCTGCTTCAGCCTCCCAAGTAGCTGGCATTACAGGCACTCGCCACCACACCTAGCTGATTTTTGTATTTTTAGTAAAGATGGGGTTTCACCATCTTGGCCAGGCTGGTCTTGAACTCCTGTCCTCATGATCCATCCGCCTTGGCCTCCCAAAGTGCTGGGATTACAGCCATGAGCCACTGCACCCAGCCAAAATGTACCACTTATAAGTGCACAGTTCAGTGGTTTTTAGTATATTCATAAGGTTGTGCAACCATCACCATTATCTCCTTCCAGAACATTTGCATCACCCCAGAAGAAATTCCACACCCCTTATCAGTCACTATGCATTTCTAAAGAACATCAGATCTCATGTTTTGAATGGTGAGCTTTTGCTCTGCTTAAATTTTTATACTCATTCAAACATCTACTAAGTTCTATATGTGCAAAGTTCTGTGCTACGCCCTTTGGGAAGGGTAAGTGGGGCAAAGACAAACTTAAAAGTGGACAGGAATGCAGCCTGGTGAGAAAACCTGCTCACTCATGACAATCCAGGAGCTCACAGACTATAGCAAGTGTGCGGTGATTCCGCTTGGCCTTGTTCTTGGTTCCATGCTTGCAGTGTGTCTCTGGGAAGTTACCAAAAAGTAAATATGGGCATGTGGAATGATTTTTTGTATGTATTTTTGTTATAATCCTGCAGAATGTGTTCCTGCTGGGGTTAAATAAAAGAAACCAACTGAACTCCATATCCTACCGCAGTCACATTCAGAGAGGCCTCACACACACACCAAGAAGCATTTTGCCTTCCTGGTTGTACAGGATCTGTGTACAAAATCCTCCCACGTTCCTCTGTCAGATTCAAATGGGCAATCAAACCACATGTCCGTGTGTGTATGTGTGTGCGCATATTGATTTAATAGCACAAATACATGAAAACACCCCTCCACAGTTAATTACCTTTTCTTTGGGAGTTTTTTGTTGTTGTTGTTGTTGTTTTAACTCCCTGGGATCTGAAGACTTAGGCAGCCCAAGTGTCAGGCATTCCCCACAACTCAGGCAGTCCTTGCTGGCATTTTAATCACGAGCCTCGGAGTGGGTGTCTGGGGACAATGACATGACAAGATTGAAGATGTTCAGCTGAGCATAGACCTGGAGAGCTGGCCTTTGCCTCAGACCACACAAGGGACCAGCTCAATCATCAGCCTGAAATTACGAGGCAGTGCAAACAGGTGTGCCCCGGCCAGGAGTTCAATTGACTCATCTCTCTGGTGTTGGCTACATGCTGGGCGCCATGGGGGACCTGGGTATGCTTTAGGCAGAGTCATATGGACCGGGGGCTCAGTCTAGGAAGGAAGAGATCTCATACATGCAGAAGAAGGACTGACAGTTGTGCAAGTGCTGTCCTCAAGGCCATGGGAACCAGGCAAGGATTTTGAGCAGTGAAGTGGCAGAGAGACAAGAGCTTGCTACACGTCACCTTAAGCCATTGCTGTGTCTGGAAAAGATAAAACCCAGGTAGATAGCTCCTGTCATTGCCCACCATGGGACCCAGGTCCTGACTGGTGGGATTCAGAGGGCTGTGTGCCCTGGCTCTTCCCTGAATCTGGGTGTTCAAGTTCTCACTCACCTCTGTCTGGGTCCAGCCAAGTCCTATAGTACAAGGCAGCCTGTTCACACCACTGCTCCCTGCAGTGGGGCCTGTTCCCCACTCTAAGGAGAGCTGTGAGTGGTCCCCCTAGAGGGACTTGGCTCTATCGAGAGGAGTCCACCACCCAGCCTTCAGCCCACGCTGCTTCACCATGACCAACTGGGCTGACTGGTTGCCGGAGCAACCCTGGCCAGCCTTGGTGCTTATCTAAACGCCTCCTCCAGGAAGCTTTCCTGCCCAGCCCAGCCAGAGGCATGTCTGGTTTTTTCATAATATCCCATGTCAGAGCGTTTTGGGGACATGGCTCCATTGCCTCCCTGGCTCCCACTCAGAGCCAGATACACGTGCTCAGGTGGGATTTCCTCTTACAAATAACAAATAATTTCCTCCTTCCTGTACGGTAGTCTCCCCACATTCGACGGTGCTCTTTACCTCGTTTGGTTTTCATACCGCCCCATGGGTGGCAGAGGCCAGGCGTGGAATAGCTTACCTGCTTGGCACGTGAGGGCCAGAAGCAGCGTGACTCATGCAGGCCCTGCAGTCTGGAGGCAGGAGAGTGGACCAGGTGGCCTTGAATGTTATCTCGCAGAGGTGGTGCAGCATGGGGCCTCAGAGTGGGGCCCAGATCAGGAGAGCCAGGGTGCGGGCTGGCTCAGCCATTGATCAGCTTGGTACCGGGAGTACTTTCCTAGGACTGCTGTAACAAATTACCACCAACGCAATGGCTTAAAGCAACGCAAATTTATCATCTTGCAACTTTGGAAGTCAGAGGTCCAAAATGGTTCTTACTGGACTAAACTCAAGGTGTTGGCAGGGCTGCACTCCTGTTGGAGGCTCTAGGGGAGAATGTGTTTCTGAGGCTTTTCCAGCCTCTGGAGGCTGCACCGGATTCTTGGTCTATGGTCCCCTTTCATCATCAAGCCAGGAATGGCCGGCTGAGTTTCATGTCACAAAGCTCTGCCTCTCCCTCTTCCGCTTAAAAGGACCCCTGTGATTACACTGAGTCTACCTGGATAAGCCAGAATGATCTCCCCACCTCAGGATCCTTAATTTAGGGCCAGGAGCAGTGGCTGATACTTGTAATCTCAGCACTTTGGGTGGCTGAGGTGGGAGGATTGCTTGAGCCCAGGAGTTCAAGACCAGCGTAAGCAATGTGGTAAGACGTTGTGTCTACAAAAAAAAAAAATTAAAAATTAGCTGGCTATGGTAGTGCGCATCTGTAGTCCTAGCTACTCAGGAGGCTGAGGCGGGAGGATCTCTTGAGCCTAAGAGTTCAAGGCTGTGGTAAGCTATGATAATACCATTGCACTCCAGCCCCAGTGACAGAGCTAGACCCTGTCTCGTGGAGGCCATGGGAGATCCTTAATTTAATGACATCTGCACAGTCTCATTTTGTCCTACAAATTAGCATATTCACAGTTTCCAGGGATTAATCCATGGCTACCTTGGGGATGGTGGGGGCGTTATTCTGCTTACCACAGTGACCTTCAATTTAACCTCTTTGTGCCTCAGTCTTCTCATCACCTAAAATGGAAACAAAGTCTGCACCACATATTGTTGTTGGGAAAATTGAATTAGCTGATGGACACGGAGAGCAAATTCTGGTACCTAGGAAGGGCTCAATAAATATTCACTCTTGGTATCATTGCTTGCATATTTTAGGAGTCACCTGGACTCCTCAGTAGGCGCTTAGCAGTAGATCCGTGGGGATGAATAAAGGCTGGTTGGGGGGCTTGTTAACCATCTGCCCAGTGAGGAAAGCCTTGGCACATAGCCCGCGTGTGGGCAGTATGTGTTTGTGTGTGTGTGTGTGTGTGTGTGTGTGTGTGTGTGTGTGTGTAAGGGAGAAAGCGTACTGATACTGAGATGATTATCTGATCCTACCTTGAAAGCTGGAGAGGGATATAAGCCTGGCCCTGGAGACCCTCACACAGACAGAGGACTGGGCAGATACCAAACTGATGGAGAGACCCCAGGGCCTGAAGTGATGCCTTCTGGTCAGGGAGAAATCAAGTCTTCCTGGAACCATGGCATTGGAGCCCAGCAGTCCTGTTGGCTCAGTCCTCGTTTGACTAAGGGAGATTCCCAAAGCCTAATTCCCTCTCGTCCCAGATGAGAAATTAGGTAATTATAAACTGGAGGCTGGTTTGAGATGCTGATTTCCTGATTGCCTGACTCCCTAGAAGAGGACTGGCAGCATGGAGGGCATCTACCTGGTTAGATTCCTGAGAGGCCTTCCCACTGTCCCCAGCTGGGGCAGGCGGCACCGCAGCCTGGCCTGGTCTGTGGTCTGACTGCACTGGCCTCCCTGTCGGGTGAGGTGGAGCTATGCTAGGGAGGAAAGAGGCAGTCCCTGGAGCTCAATTACTGCAGCTCCTGGGCGGCCTGAGGGAATCACCAGTTTGGCAGCTGTGCACACGGGGCTGAGGCCAGGCGTGGTGTTGAGTGCTTGGGGGCTGGGGAGGGATTTGTGAGAGAAGCACAGTGTCCCTGCTCTAGGCCAGGCCCCAAGGGGTGGTGAAGCCCACAGGAGGCCCAGAGTCTGCCCCTTTGTTCCTCTGCAGGCCTTGCAGAAGTGAGGCAGAGGTGGAGGAGGGTGGTCAGAGCTTTGTCTAGCCTGAAGCAGCAGCTAGGAATTGTAGCCAGAGTCAGGGTCAGAGAAGGCCTGGGCAGTGCAGTTCAAGGCAAGAGCCCACAAGTAGACCTGAAGCACAGCTCTGGCATTGGAAGCACTCCCTTGTGATGGGAGACAGATGGACATTGCCGTTCAGTGAGCCACCATGGCTAAAAGAGGGGTGCCCGAAGCCCGCAGGGCACAGAGGTAGCACCGTGTTACCAGAAAGGCAGGACAGGCTGCTGGGAAGTTGGGTGGGGTCCTGCTGAGGGGTCGTGCAGGGTGAGAAGGAGATTCTCAGGTGGAGCAGAGGGCTAGCTTGAAGAGTAGGTACACAGGCAGGAAGCAGCCAGAGGTAGCAGGGGTAGCAGGCCCTGGCCAGGTGTGCAGTTGGTTGGCAGCAGAGCATTCTGAGAGAACTTCTAGAGAAAGCCTGGCCTGGGCTACTCCCCTAGAAGTGGGGGAGGGAACTCAGAGCCCTGCCACTCTGGCCTTGCCCTCCCCTGCGGAGCAATTTATAAATGCCCATTTCTCTCCTATGTGACTGAGGACAGGGCCCCTCGCCTGACTGCGGTTAAAAGCCTTTGAGGTCTGGGGCCCACCTTTCCTGCCTTCCCTCCACAAAAGACCCTACCAGCAGTGTGGTTGCAGGTCTCTGGTGCCTATTAGGTGTCATGGAGCAGGCCGGGGGCCAGCTGCCTGTGCCGGGGAAGGGACAGAGACCAGCCTGGGTGGAGGGGGGTTGGCATGGACTGGTCACAGCCCCAATGTGTCTCCTTGGAGACCCTGTTTATTGCCGTGGTAGCACTGTCCTGGCAGTGATGACTCCCAGGGGCAGGACCCCCCCAGCGGTGGTGGTGTGGTCGGCCTGCGCTGCTCGGCTTTCCTTGACCCCACACACGCTCTTCAGCATGCTCATCATGTGTACCATCCTCACCAACTGCGTGTTCATGGCCCAGCACGACCCTCCACCCTGGACCAAGTATGTCGAGTGAGTAAATCTTCAGGGCGTCTTCTCCACGTGGCCCTCTCTCTTCCTTTCCATTCCATGCCATGGCTCCTGAAACTGCCCCAGAAGGGGGCTGTGTCCAGGCCCAGGAACTTACCCGTGGTGGTGGGGCAGCCCTTGGCTCAGCTTCTACCCTCTTTTGCCTTTCCCAATCCTGCCAACTTCTGGCATTAATTTGAGTCATGCCTTCTAGGGAGGAAGCTCTCCAGATTGGCAAAGCAGGGAGTTTCTCCCTGTTCTGCCTAAAGAGGAATGATGACATTGGAAAAGGCTCTGAAATAATAATAATTTATTGAGCATTTTGTACACGCCAGGCACTGTCATAAGAACAATAAGCATCATCTCCTTTAATCCTCATGGCCACCCAGTAGGGTGGGTGCAGCCACCTTCCCCATTCCACAGATAAGACTAAGAATTAGAGAAATAGCTGGCCTGATGTCATGCAGCTAGGAAGTGGACAGCTAGGAGGTGCCCCAGAGCTATCCCCACTTCAGTAACACAGTCTGCTGCCTTTTTTCCCAAGTCCTGCCTCCTATAACCATTTGCACAGTTCCAGAAACTGCTTCTGGTCTTTTCTTCCCAAACAAAAGTACCTTGCCTGGAAGTTCTAAGCAGATTTGATAGGCGCTTACTGCATTTGCCTGCAGTTTTCAGGAGACCAGCAGAATGCTGGGGCAGCCTCTCTTCCCAAAGCAGCCTGCCTGGTTGTTCGCCACGTTCGCATAGATCCTAGCAGTGCTCTCAGCTGGTACGTGCAGCTGCTCTGAATCCTGGGATGCAGTCTTATCCCGCTTCAGCCCTGGGGGCCCCAGTCCTAGCATCCAGGCATTTTGGATTCTTCAGGCTGCCCTAGGCAGAGAGAACAGCACCCCAACTCCCACCAGCCCCATGCAGGTGATAACATCACCCTTCAAGCCCAAGGTGGACAGCTGGACCCACCTACCCTGTAAGCAGTTGAGGATTGACTGGGCCCATTGCTAGCTGCTGAGGACCCACAAACAGAGGTGAGGGTCCATGTATATGTCCTATAGCACAGACCCTGTGGCCACTGTATGCCTGTTAGACGCACAGCCCCCCAGGGCTAGGGTAAGGAGATTGGGAGGAGGTCTTCTTCCACTAAGACAACTGAGAGAGAACACAGAGAGTTCGGATGGACACATGGCAGTTACACGATAATATGGAATAAACAAATTGGACGATGGATTCATTAGCCAGATGTTTAGAGCAAAGCTCCATCCCCAACTCCAGCTCTACCATGGGGGCATTGTAGAGAGCCCCGTTTGATGGCCCCCTGCTGAAGGGAGCTGTGTGGGCTCGCACCATGTAGGGAACCTGGAGAGCCTGGCCTGCTCAGGCCTCCCTGAGAACCCCGTCGGCCTCTCCTGCCCAGGTACACCTTCACCGCCATTTACACCTTTGAGTCTCTGGTCAAGATTCTGGCTCGAGGCTTCTGCCTGCATGCGTTCACCTTCCTTCGGGACCCATGGAACTGGCTGGACTTCAGTGTGATTGTCATGGCGTAAGTATCTCGTTTGCTATGCTGTGCTATGCCATGCAGGCCACACTAGGGTGGAGTGTGCACACCCCAGGTCCCGGACCACCCCTCTCTTTCTGGCTTCCTCCCTGCAGTCCACATGCAGCTCTGTACACAGGCTGGAGGAAGGTAGGGTGGAGGCCCTCAGCTCATCCTGGTGGGGAGAGATGGCTCAGGCGGGCCTTGGCGGTCAGGCCTACTGGCTCACCTGGGGCTCCACAGCAGCCCTGGGCTCCAGGGACACCATTAAGATTCTGGTTTTGCATCCTCTGCCCTTTCCACCAAGAGAAAACAATATTTCAATCCCTGGCCCACTGCACATGGTGACCTGGATTTCAAGATGATTAAGAATGAAATTGCAGTCAAGAGAAGGAGCCTGGAGAAGTGACTAAGCATCCCCAGGAACTCGCACCAGGCACACCAGCACATCAGCTTGCTCCATCCAGAGACTGAATGCGTGGCACATTTTAAAGCACCCGGCCACTGACACAATACAGTGGATCCTCACACCAGCCAGAGAAGTAGGGTACATGGGGATGGCTTAGCCCATTTTGTGGGTGAGAAAACTGATGCCGAGAACACAGGGAGCCTGCCAGAAAGTGAATGTGACCCCAGGCCTGCCGCAGCCCAGGCCGAGGCCCCGCCTCTTTGCCTAGGAGAAACTCTTGCTGAGGGGTCAGTGTTGAGGCTGCACTCCACCGTGGAAGTGTCAGGGAACAGATGCTGGGTTCTGATGGGACATCTGCAGAAGTCGTGATCAGAGGCTCAGCCATCAAAGCCTTTTTGAAGGCTGAGTGCAGTGGCGCACGCCTGTAATTCCAGCACTTTGGGAGGCCGAGGTGAGCAGATTACTTGAGCTCAAGACTAGCCTGGGCAACATAGCAAGACCCCATGTCTATGAAAAACACAAGAATTAGCAGGGCATTGTGGCGCATACCTGCAGTCTCAGCTACTCGGAAGGCTGAAGCGAGAGAGGATCACTTGAGCCTGTGAAGTCAAGGATGCAGTGAGCTGTGATCACATCACTGCACTCCAGCCTGGGCAACAGAGCAAGACTGTCTCAAGAAAAGAGAAAAAAGAAAAAAGCCTTTCTGAAGCAGAGGACCTAGTGTGTGCAGGGTTGAGCACTGCACCTCAGCAAGGAGCAGAGCTGGTGAGTCTCATACTCCCTGCCCTTGCAAACCTTCAGTTTCCCAAGATGTGAAAGGATAGTGTTGGGTGCTGTGGTATCAGAAGCTCAGTTCAGCTCTCACTTTCTAGGATGCTTGGAATGCCTGAATCTTCCTGTTGAAGACAGCCTTTAACCCCAGGCGTGAACAGCCCTGAGCTCAGCCATGCTGTCGGGGAGAGAGGACAAAGAGGGAAGCTATACGCTGGTGAATGGGGTACTTTCAAACTAGATGGAGAACCTGGTGGTGGGAAAATGCATCAGAATCTTTGTTTCTAGGTATACTATTTGTGAGCCAACTCTAGGCCTCCATTTTACAAGTGGGAAAACTGGCTCTGAGAGACAATATCACTTGCCCCAAACCCAGTATGGATTTAGGCCTGGGTGGAGTTGAGCGAGCAAGGAAAGAGTGACGGGAGATGAAGTTGCAGAGTAGTGGGATGGAGGACAGATTGTGGTAAAAGCCAGGTGTGATGGGAGTCACTGGGGTGTAAGAACAGGCAGAGCTGTGGCCTGCTTTACATTCTGTAGAGACTTCCCTGGCTATGGTGTGGGCCACAGACTGGAGAAGGTAGAGACAGATGGAGTAGTTAGGAGGCTATATTTTGGTAGCCAGGAGAGAGAAGATAGTGACTGGAACCAAGGACCAAGTGGAGAAGGGGAGCACCTGGTCAGATTCTGGACATATTTTGCAGGTAGGGCTGACGGGAGGCCCCCAAGGTGGTTTTTGGTTTGAGCAGCTGCTGGGTGGACGGTGTTCCCATTGGTTGAAATGGAAAAATTGGAGAGAGTGGCACTGGCTGAAGTAGGAAGAGAATCAAAAATCCAGTTAGGGATGTATGACATTTGAAGGCACCCAGGGTGAGATATTGAGTAGGCAACTGGATATTCCAGTATAGGGTTCAAGAAAGAGGTCTAAGGTGGAGGTATAAATTTAGAAACCGTGGGGATACAGATGGTGTTTACAGCCAGGAGACCCGATGAGATCACCTAGGCATGAGTATAACCTGTAGCCTGGATGTACTATGGGACGCTCCAACATCTGGAGGCCAAGAGAGAAGACTGGAGGGCAGAGGCAAATCAGAAGAGGGTAATGTCTAGGAAGGAATGTGATTCCAATGGAAACCTGCCACCAGGAGGTTGGGGAAGGTGATGACTAAGAATGGACTATAGGATTTCACAGTGGGAAGGTCACTGGTGCCCTTGACAAGAGGGATTCCAGTGGAGAAAAAGGACATGCACCTGGTTAAGGAGGGTTCGAGAGAGAGTGGGAGGAGAGGAGGTGTGACAAGTAGAGACATCTGTTTTGTGGGGATTGCTATAAAATGGGACCAAAAATGGTGTGGTGGTCCGTGCGGAATGTGGGTCAATCAAGGGAGGGCTTTTAAAGAAGGGGGGTATCTTTGCAGGCTGGTGAAAATGATCCAGTAGAGAGGGGTTGCTAGATGATGTAGATGAGCAAGGGGATTGCAGGAGCAAAGCCCTTGAGCTGGCCCAAGAGGGTGTGAATCCAGTGCCAAGGGGGAGCGTCAACCTGAAGAGCGGGGAAGGCAGAATTTCAGGTGGAGATGGAGGTAGATTGATAGAGTTGATGATGAAAGAGAAAGGAATTTCTCTTCTGATTGCTTCTATTTTCTCAGTGAAATAAGAAGCTGGATCATCAGCTGAGAACAGAGTGGGGAGGCACATCTGAGGTTTCAGAGAGAGGGAGAACTTTTCATGTCAGAGCCGAGGAGGTTGCACTGACTTGGGAATGGAGTAAGATTGCCAGGCTGGGCCCTGGGGTGCCCTGTGGGTGGGAAGCAGTAATCTACGGGGTCCTGAGGCTGGGTGTCACAGGAAGGAAGGTGGCTTCGGGCAGGAGAGGATATAGCATCTGCCTGAGCCTTTCCTAGCTCCCCAGCCTGGAGCCTGGGCAAGACAATGTCACCACAGAGGCAGCCCCATATCCCAGGAAGTCATTGCCCTGGCCCAAGCTTTGGCTCAAGCTGTGTCTCTGGGAGATGCCCTGAGCGACCTCAGGCCCTCAACCAGTCCTTCTGCCCTGTCTCCTGGGAGAATCCTGGTTTCATTCCCAAACCACTTCTTCCACTGGAAGTCTCAAAGCAGGTGTGCCTTCCTCGCCAAAACCTGCTTGCCTTCGCTGTGTGCCAGGGCCAGGGCTGACAAGGCAGAACTCAGCCTCAGAAGCTCAGACACTCTCCATGTTTCCAAGCACCTCACAGAAATGGCACATCCACTTCCCAAAGGGCTGTGTTACCTATTGGCACATCAGCTGTTGGGCCCTTGGCTGGCCTGGCCTGGCAGCTTCGATTGACGGGGATTCTGGCTTGTGAAAACCAGTTAATTACTGCATTTGAAATGCATTCTCTTAGAGATACAATGGTTCAGCAACAAGGGACTCTAGGATAATCAAAGGAGACTTGAGTGAAGGGAAACATTCCATTCAGTGAAATCCTCCATCTGACCTCCATTACACAGATGGAGAAACTGAGGCTCAGAGAACCTCACACTTGTCCAAAGTTATAGACTGAATCAGAAGCAATGCTGAGACTAAAACCAAGTCTCTCAACTCCAAACCATGGGATGGATGGGAGAGGCATGCCGAGTCTGATGTTTCTGCTGGGGTGATCCTCCACCCCACTGATTTAGAGGCTGTGGGAGGGTCTGGGGCAGGGTGCTGGGAAGCCTGCCAGGCTCAGCTTGCAGCCCTCCAGCCAGAGCTCTTCCTGTGGCCCCACTCACAGAAGGGCATTACCTGCTAGTTAGCACAGCCTCCCACCTTCTGGGGTTGTTATGGAAACCAAACCTGGAGGGGAAGGGAGGAGGGCAGAGAGGAGGGTGGCAATTCCTGCAGTCACTAACGGCGTGGGCTTCACCATCTCAAGATAAGGGTGGGCAGGAAGAAGGCTTCCCTGCACTGGGGCTGGTGATGGGATAGGATTCTCACCCACCACCCTTTGCTCTTTCTGCCCCTGTCTGTTGTCCAGCTGTCTGCCCCTGGCCAGCAGCTTAGCCATCACTGAAGGAGCAGACTGGCTTGGAGGAGAGTTTTGCCAGCCTGAGAGGGGCAATGCTCTGTCTCCTCACGTGACCCCACACTTGCCACCTCTGCAACTGGCCCTGTGTCATACCAAGCATTCCTCCTGCCCTGCCACACTCAGAGGACCCAAAAGAGGCCTCGGTGGGATCTGGGTGGAATAAGAGAGGCAATAGCCCACCATGTCACCAACATGGTCCCAGACATTCCACACCCTTACCCTGCAAGTCCTCTTTTAAGACTTCCTCTAACTCATGATTGCTCTCCCAGACAGACACACGGCCACCAGCTGCACTCCTATTTCCAGCCACTCAGCTGGCTTTGCAAGCCTGCCAGGAGCACAGATATGGTCCTCCCTTATTCTGTCACTAAGCTGTCCTTGTCACCTTGGGACACCAGCTGCCTAGAAGGCAGACAATGAATGGAGGCCAAGCACTGTCTGTGCTGGGGACACTGTGCTGGGGGCAGGTTCCACCCCAGGACAGGCAAAGATAGGCAGAATCTAAGCTAGAGATAGGCAGAGTTTTCAATGGAGACACCAGGGGACAGACTGGGTCTGTAAGGGACAGGAGGGAAGCAAGGACGGTTGGTTCCCTCTCTGACCTGCACAGTATTCCACTCACTCCCTGTAATTAGAAGAGACAGCCTTGAAACCAGTATCCTGGGCAAGGGGAGCTGCTGTCCCCAGGCACAGTTGGTAGAACAGCAGCCATAAAAGGGGCCCAGAGCCTCCAGCAGGCCAGAGCCGTGGTTTCCATGGGATGGCAATGTCAGCAATATCCCAGGCTCAACCAGAAAATCCTGTGGCAGCACCATGTCTGGAGAGAGACCGAGAGAAGAATGTGGGACAGAGGCCTTAGGGTCTGAGCCATCATGGAGAATGGAATAGCTCTCAGAAGTTGAGAGGGACCTTGGATCAAATTAGCAGGTGTATGTGGGCCAAAACAAGCACGGTGACTTCTGCTCCCCAGCAGACGATGGGACTGCATCTGACTGCCACACTGGAGAAAGATGTACATGCTGAAGTGAATACAGGAGATGGAATGGAAACCACACCACAGAAAGGGTCTGGTGTCGCCAGAGGAAAGCAAGCTTTGGCAATGTGTCTGCTGACATCATCTGTGTAGGGCTTTGTGAGTAAGGAAAGATCAGCGTGGTGCATAGGGCCATGTGAAGATGGAGGGCTCCTCCAGTGGACATAGAGAAATCTGCTGTCAACCCAGTGTCAGTTAGAGCTGGACCTGTGGACCCCAGGGCATTAAGCCCCTTGACTCAGCTGGCCAAGTTCTTTCCTGTAGATATTCAAAGCCTGAAGGGGAATTGGGAAGCTGGGAGCAGACTGGAAGGGCCTGGAGGTCCAGACTGCCCAGCAGAGTGAGTCTGGCAACAGTGCCAGCCCACCCTTGCACTCACCCAGAGCCACAGGGCTGACGTCCTATGTCTGACATCACTCAGACACCTGCGTCGACGCACTTGGTTAAACATCAGACATCCCGAGTCCAGTGTCCTTTGTTAAACACCAGACACCTTCGGTTAAATGTCACACACCCTGGATGCAAAGCCTTTGATTAAATGTCACAAGTCACTTGCCACTGTCCCGATGGCCTTGGTTACACACTGTCCATGGTCCTCGTGGTCATGTGGCCCATCTACTGCATGTTCTCATGCTCTGCTTGGGCAGGTCCCTGCCCGCCAGCAACCACCTTCTTTCTCCTGTCCCTGTGGAGGCCACGGATCAGCAACTGTCCAAGGGGGCCAGGAGGCCCAGGAGGGGGCCCACAGCCGCTCACCCTGTTGAGCCTCGCTCGGACCCAAGTAGGACAGACCCCAGGAAGGGCATCTTGCCTCTGGAGGCCAGTCCTCCGGTGGAGACCCAGAGCCATCCCTGGAAGATACCAAGGGTCTGGGGGTGGGACCGGTAGACTTGTTGGGAAGGCACTCCACTGCCTTGGGGCCCCTCATCCTGCGCTTTTCTCTTCTTGGGTTGCTCCTTGCCTGTGAGTAGTTGAAGAACTCAGGCAACCTCTCTTCCCATCTTCCAGCGCCTCTGTCTTGGGAACTCTGTTTTTTCCAATGAGTATCCAGGCCACCTCCGCCTCGTGGCTTCAAGGACTACTGAGCCAGGCACAAGCTGATCCACAGATGGAGGTTCCACAGAAGATGTAGACCAAAACTAGGACCAGAAAAGCACTTGCTTCCTGTATCACCTGACCTGAGCCTCTTGGAAAACAGGCTTCTCTCTTCACTCTGATGTGTCCCCAGCCCCAGACCCCACATGTGGCTTCGTGTCATGGATCCCAGTGGTGTGGAGAGAGTGGCAAAGTGGTTGCCTCCTAGCACCGGTTATCCATGGCACCATCACCAAGAGAGTCGCCGGGAAGCTTGCCGTGTGGACATCCTTACGGCACTGAAGCTGAAGTCCTGTGTTAGGAGGGTTGAAATCCAGAAGAAAACCTGAGGGAGGTCCTGGGCTATCCACAGCACTCCCCCCCACCCCCATGGGAGGGGGCCAAGGGAGAGGGCTGGTCGGGGAGGGCAGGCGGAGGTTCTGCTTTGTAATTCCCAATAACTGTGGTTTGATTCTGCAGGTATGTATCAGAAAATATAAAACTAGGCAATTTGTCGGCTCTTCGAACTTTCAGAGTCCTGAGAGCTCTAAAAACTATTTCAGTTATCCCAGGTAAGATGCCCAGGTTTGCCTCTCAGATCTCAGCTACAAGTGACTCTCTCTCTGTCTTCCCCACCCCCTTTCCTCCTCTGACTGTGTGTCTCCTATTGGCGTGTTGTCATTGTCTCGTGTGTAAATTTCCCTTGTTACAGATACACAACTGAATTTGTGGACCTGGGCAATGTCTCAGCCTTACGCACCTTCCGAGTCCTCCGGGCCCTGAAAACTATATCAGTCATTTCAGGTGAAAATCAGGTTAAACGCCAAGGCTGGAGGGATACGCCTGGGCCTTTCCAGCCACCTGGGAGCCAAGGCATCCCTCCAGAAGGCCCTTCAAATGTGCCTGTCACCAGAATACCTTTCCTAGGGCTCAGGTGCCAGGGGCTAGTGGCAGTGGACATGCCTGTCCCCCTGGAGCCTCAGAATGGGCTTCAGGCTGCCCACCGCAGCAAAGCCCACTCTCACAGACACCAGGGGGCACAGAGCACCCCACGGTGGGGCTCACATTGAACCCAATTTTTTTCCAAGATAGTGGACTACTTTTCCAAACCACACTCAGCTATTTGAATAGCTAAAAGTTTTACATGAATTGCTTCAGCCTGAAATGTCAGCTTCTGATGAGTAAACCAAAAGAAATGTATTTGCGGGAACCCCCATACACACCTGGAATGAAAGAGGAAAACTCCAGCACCGTCTTTCATGACTGAGTGCCTCAGCCCGCCTTGTGCCCCATCTGGTGATATAAGTAGGGCCAGAGCCCCAGCCCCATTTTGCGAAACAAAGTGTAATCTGTGGACAGGCATCATCGGGCCTTGGTGTCTAACAGCCCTCGCTGCATGGTGCGATAGAGGTTTAGCAAACCATGCATGGTAGCCTCAGGAAGAAATTCTCCTTGACAGATGTTGGCAATTGCATCTGGGAAATCTCCTAGGCCCAGATGACCTCTCTAGAAATCATTCCACCCGTCCATTCAGGAAAACTCTGAAAAGACTTGTGATTTCTGAGCCTGCTTGTGCGATGTGCCGGTGCTGAAGCTGAGTTCCACCCAGGAGATATTCCTATCCTAAGTTTGTATTCCCTCTCCCCAGACTCAAAGCTCCTCCTGTTTGGAGGAATTTGCTCTGGAGGGGCATTGCCCAGAGGTTCGTTCCAGAAGTCTTTTCCGAAAGCAGCCACACTTAGAATTGGAGAAGGCACTTCTTTTAAAAAGGCAGCTTGGCCGGGCGCGGTGGCTCACACCTGTAATCCCAGCACTTTGGGAGGCCAAGGCGGGTGGATCACTTGAGGTCAGGAGTTCAAGACCAGCCTGGCCAACATGGTGAAACCCCATCTCTACTAAAAATAGAAAAAGTAGTTGGGCATGGTAGCGCACGCATGTAATCCCAGCTACCCAGGAGGCTGAGGCAGGAGAATCACTTCAACCCAGAAGGTGGGGGTTGCAGTGAGCCGAGATCACACCACTGCACTCCAGCCTGGGCAACCAAGTGAGACTCCGTCTCAAAAAAAAAAAAAAAAAAAGAAGGTGGCTGGAAATAGGTTTCATGCCATCATTCTGGGGAGGTGTGAGAGCTGACAGGAGGATCGATTGAACCAGATGGCTACATTCATTCCTGATGTGGAACCTGGTGGCTCCCAGGCCTATTGCCTGCTTTGAGCTATGTTGCCCCCAAGGAGTCAGAAGCTCTGCTCTAAGCTCCAGTAAGGAATCTGGACTCCCCGTGGTAGGGCTAGTTATCTTGCCAGAGGAGCCCCCAGTTATGCTATGTTCACACTGAGCTTTCTAACCTCTAAACCCACTGTTCATAAGGGCCGCATCTCCCCCAGGGCTCCCACAAGTGACCCAGACCCCTGCCAAGGGCCAGTAGCAAGGGGACAGTCTGCTCCCGCTCAGTCCTACGGAGCCACCTGCATTGAGACAGACGTCATGGGCCTTGGGACGCATAGACTCAGAAACCACATGGTCTCTCCTCTAGGGCCAGGGGACAGCCTCACAAGCACACACCCCACCAAAGTAGACAAACACTGACCACAGGACTTAAGGCATATTCCTGGTGTGTTTTATAAGAAACATTTACAAAGGGAAATATTTCTCGGTCCTGGGGAAAAGGAGGAAGTCCACCAATCTCAGCCTAGCTCCATGGGACCTCTTCAAAGCTGCCAGCAACCTAGTGAGCCAGCAGGCTCTGAAAGTGGCCAATAGAAAAATGCTGTGGTTGGCATTATGGAAGGCTCTCGGGAGGAGGTGTCCTCTGATCTGAGTCTGAAATAGCCCTAGTCCTCTCTAGACTCAAGTCGCTTTTCCATAAAATGAGAGTGAAATCAGAATTGGTGGTTTCCAAGGGCTCTTCCACCCAGCCCATTAATTCAGCGGCAGGAGGATTTCCCAGTTGATCTACTGGGGCCCATCCCTTCCTGGGTCTTTTCAGAAAGAATCCTGCAATTCCGTTGCAACCATTCTTGCCAGAAGTGAAATCTATCATCAGTATGAGAAATGTTCAAAGGGGTGAGTTATCCTTGGCCACTATCTCCACAGACCAGGTCAGGGGGTACTTTGCTGGCCTTGGATGGGATACTTCAGGCCAAAGAGACTTTAGCCTAACAATTGAGGCAGAGACCAGTTTGGGTATTCGAGCTGCTGTCCATCAGTCTTCACTTCGTTCCCCTCGAGACATGCAGGTGTCCAGCCCAGTAAACCCACCAAAGGGTACAGGAAGCTCCGTTACAGATGAGGAGCACTGGACCATGAAGAGCTTGTGGATCCCACCACCACCACTACTCTGGGCCCAGACCTGCGAGGTCCACCCACTGCCCAGGCAGTTGCCAACATCTGCCAGGACGATTTCCACAAGGAAGGCTGAGTGCCTCTGAGCGCTGGGCAGGCAGCAGTGTCAGTGGCACCATGGGGAGGTCATCGTCTCCCCATCTTGTGTTTGCCCACCATGGCCTCCTTGCCTGTGGGTCACAGGCCCAGCAGCAGCAGGCACAGAAGCCACAGATGCTCCTAACACATTAACCAGCGGGACAGTGGATGGATGGAGCTTAATCTGAGATCTGGCCGCTTGGGACAGGGGCATGAGGGGCAGGGCCCTGCTGCTGGCAGAGGATCCCCCTCATTCCCCATGCTCTGCTTGCACTTGTCCTAGGACAGTCGCTAAGGGCCAGACTGGTGTCTACACTTGCTTTTCTGTTATTCTGCTATGTGGTGCTGGCTTCTGCAGGGAGCTAGGCTGTGCAACTAACAGATCACAGCCTCTCAGCTATGGAGAATGGGATGGATGGGGGCGTGGGGAGGTCCTAGAGGGACAGGGTAAGTGGGAAGATGCAATGCAGGTCAGCCCTGTTTCTGAACCTTCCCTAAAGGTGGGCCTGAGCCAGCGCAGGCCCCTTAGACATCACCTACCATGACCCTGCCAGACCCTCACCCAGAGCCCCCAGCACACACCTGACCACAGCCCCTAGCCCCTACCCGATGAGACCCTGGGCCCCTAGTTTCCTCCAAACAATCCACACTCCCTGTGCATCAAATAGAACCAACCCCAGCTGTGGGGCAGGGGGACCCCCAGCAGGAATGGCTCTATTTCTCCCCATCTCAGGATCAAGGCTGAGGCCCCTCCATTGCCTCCATCTCCTTTTCCACGGACTACATTAAAAGGGGTAGGTCTGGCACACCTTCAGACCAGCCAAAGGGGGTGATGCTCTGAGTATGTGTTTTCTCAAGAAAACAGCACTTTCCACACCCATGCCATATAGTTGGCTGGTGGGCAGCAAAGAGGAGCAGATTCCCTCTGAAACTACAAAGCCAGCCTAGACTCCTGCCCAGGGAAATCAAGACAGAATCTCAGCTGCTGAGGAAAGTGGGGCTTGGGTCTCAAAGCCCAGGAGAAGCCTCCCTTATTCTGTCCCCACCTCTGGTTGCCTACTCAGGTCCCAACCCAGCTCATCTCAGGCCCAGCCCCCCACCAGTGGAGCACAGAGCTCGGTGCCCCTGGGTGACCGCGTGCTTGTTCTTGCCTTCCCTAGGGCTGAAGACCATCGTGGGGGCCCTGATTCAGTCTGTGAAGAAGCTGGCTGATGTGATGGTCCTCACGGTCTTCTGCCTCAGTGTCTTTGCCCTCATCGGCCTGCAGCTCTTCATGGGCAACCTAAGGCACAAGTGCGTGCGCAACTTCACAGCGCTCAATGGCACCAACGGCTCCGTGGAGGCCGATGGATTGGTGTGGGAATCCCTGGACCTTTACCTCAGTGATCCAGGTGCGAACTCTCTCTGCAGCTGGGGAAGGCTTTGTGAGACCAGCAGGGCGGGGTCACCTCCCACACATGCGTCACCAGCGGGCAGGCCTCCAGGGTTGTTCAAGCCCTGTCTGATCCCCCAGAGACCCAGACAGAGGACAGATGGGGAGCAGACTTAGGGCCTGCCTTGTGACTCCCCAGGCTAGATGGGGAGGCAATGCTTGAGGAGTGGGAAGTACGGAGTTAGATGGAGGGCCAGTTGGGGGAAGAGCAGCTGCAGCATTTGGAGATGGGACTGACCCTAGAGTGTTGCAATGGCAAGGTGACCAGCCTGCCCACAGACTGTCAGCTTAGGAAAGGGCTGGACACGGAGCCGGAGTAGTTGATGAGGCTTCAGAGTGAAGCCCCACCTAGCTGGCATGGAGATTTCCGGTTGACATCAGTGTTCCTTACCAGGATGCTAATTCCATGTACGTGTACCCCAAAACCCTGCAAGGGAGTTGGAACAAGCCCAGTGATTGTGCCAAGTTGTGTGAGCCCCTCTGTTGTTTCACTGCCCTGTGGCTCACACTTCCATTCTCCAGGCTGATGGCCAGCACCACTCCTGACTAGAGCCATTGGTCTGTTTCAGAGGTACATGCTGCTGCACGGCCAGATTCCAGGCCACAGGACCCTGGGCCAGAATGACTCTGAGGGCCATTCTGAGGTTAGGGCCTCTTACATACACCAGCAGTCCACTTTGGAAAACGAAACATAGACACTCAATGAGTAGTTCAGCAGTGGCCTCTTAACAGTGGTTCTAAAACTTCCATGTGCACCCAAGTCACCTAGAAGGCTCTGGAAAACAGATTTCTGGGCCCCACCACCCCTAGAGTTTCTGAGTCAGTAGGTCTGGGTGGCAGTCGGGAAGTTGCATTTCTGAGCAGTTTCCAGTTGACACTGATGATGATGGTTCGAGGACCATGCTTTGACAACTGTCGCCTAAGACAAAGCCAGGTAATGGTGAATGTTGGAGACTGATGACTGCCACAGAGAGGAGAGGACAAGATGGGCAGTCCTGTCTGGTGCAGCTCCATCCGGACAGACCACAGCATTAGCTGGTGACGATGGCAGGCATCACTTCTACCATTTTATGTGATGGAAGTGAGTACAGAATTGGGCAGTAGCCGGCCAAGGCCCCACAGTGACTCGGCAGCCAAGCTGGAACTCTGCCCAGACCCTTGCCTCCTGACCTTGGTGGGCCCCCTGAGTGGTTTCGGGTGGGGTGCAGAAGCTTCCTGTGGGGACAGCTGAGGCCCTGTCTAAGGCTTCCCGTGTCTTCTGAGAGCATGGGGACACTGGCAGCAGGATGTCTGCAGAGGAGCAGGAGGAAGGCCAGAGGCACAGCCAGAGTTGCCTGAAGCCTGGCCAGGCAGAGGGCAGGGGCAGGGCAGGGGCAGAGAAGAATGAAGACCACTAGCGAGGTCTCCACCTCCCCAAAACCCTGGATGCAAGGGAGAAACTTTTGGGCCAGCGTGCCCCTCACCAGCATGATGTTTCTCTTATAGAAAATTACCTGCTCAAGAACGGCACCTCCGACGTGTTGCTGTGTGGGAACAGCTCTGACGCTGGGTATGTGGCACCCACCACCCGGGTCTCTTTGTCCTGACAGGGGAGTCTCCTGGTGTTTTCTCAACTGATTCTATTTTCTATTTATGCCCTGACCCCAGGGACAGTGAGGTCTTCTTTTGTCTCCCTTCCCTGCCAGGACCCTTCCCCAGCTTCCCACCTTGCCCCCAGCAAAGAGGAGACAGCTGCTGGAGAAAGGTCAGGGACAGAGCTGCAGGGAGAGCTAACGGAGCCCTGAAGGTGGGCTGGGACTGAGGGATAGCTCGGGATGCCTTTTACAGCCCCCCAACCAGCCCACCCCCAACTCCATTCCCTTCCAGAAGCTCCCCAGAACTGCTCCCTCCAGCTCCAGTCTTCCCTCCCTCACTGCTGAGCTGTCCCTTGGAGTGAATGTGGTTTCCCCAGCAGCCTGGACTTTCCTTGAGATGCCCCAGTAGCCACGTGCAGCTTCCAGGGCCCTGTGCACACCAGGGTCTGGATCAGTGTGACAGTGCCATGGAGTGTTGGAGAAGGGGGTCACAGAGGGTCACCTCAAAGGAGAAGTACCAAGTTTGTTGCCTCCTTCCTGTCACCAAAGAGATTGTCTGAAAGGTCTTGGGACATTAACAAGACACAGAGGTCCCTTGGATGCATCCATCCGCTTGCTAAGTCCGTGTGTGTGTGTGTGTGTATCACACACACACATACATGCACACATGACTCCAGACCAGCGTTTCCTCTTTGGGAGAGAGGCTGTCACCTCCAGCTCTGTGAACTGTGGATCTGCCTCACTGAACCAGTGGCTGTGTGCACAGTTATGCAAATGGGCTCCTGACATGGCCAAGCCCCAACCCATCCCCTCCAGAATCATTTCTCAACCCCATGGCCCTGCCTTTGCCCTGGGCTCATCCTGTTCAGCTCAGCCGAGGCTCACTGCTCTCCCCCATGCCCGTGCTGTACTCAACTCCTCATGGGGTAGACGGGCCGAGGAAGAGACATGAGCCAGGCTTGCGTGCTTCCTCTCTGTGAGGAGAGGCAACTTAATAGTAGCTGGGGATGGTGTGTCATATGGGCAGAAGGGAGCTTGATTTAGGCCTAGCTGAGTACAGATAGGTAGAGTAAAGAGGAAGATAGTGTCCCAGTGGGAGGCACGCACGAACAAAGTCACCGAGGCAGGATCCAGCCGCATGGCATTAGGTTTGTGAAGCTCAGCTTCACAGAGCAGTGGGGCATACACTGGGTTGCCCAGGGCGATAAGTCCAGCCCAGCAAGGGTCTCAAGGGCAACAGACCCCTGACAGCATGGAACAAAGTCTCTGTGTGTGGCTGTAGGACATGTCCCGAGGGCTACCGGTGCCTAAAGGCAGGCGAGAACCCTGACCACGGCTACACCAGCTTCGATTCCTTTGCCTGGGCCTTTCTTGCACTCTTCCGCCTGATGACGCAGGACTGCTGGGAGCGCCTCTATCAGCAGGTGTGTGTGCCCACAGAGGGACAGCAACTGTGGCCTCAGGGTCCAGGCTACACGAGTGACTAGCCAGAAGCGGCCCCAGCAGCCTCCCCACTGGTGAGAGCTTTGGAGGGGACAGGCGACAAGGACCTTTGCTTCTGAGGGAGAAGGGATCCGCAAGCAAAGAAACTTTCTTTTTGCTGGTAATGAAGCACCAGTCCCTTCATATAGGATGCTGTCTGCTCTGTGAGTGGGACACTCTTTCTCCCTGTAGGATGGAATATTCTCCCTCTGTGGGCACAGCATGCCCTGAGTTGGGTGAGACATTCTGCCTCCCTCCTTGGGTGGGACACAGCCCCACTGTGTGCAGGTCATTCTCTGCAGGTCAGTACATGTCCCTCTCTATAGGTGGGACATCTCTACCCTCCTCCCTAGGCTATGGCTATTTGAACCCCTGGTACAACTAGACCAGGTGACTTGGAAATGCCATAACCCAGTAGGGGCCCCAGTGAGGGTGACCTCTGCCCCCTTGCTCCCCCAGACCCTCAGGTCTGCAGGGAAGATCTACATGATCTTCTTCATGCTTGTCATCTTCCTGGGGTCCTTCTACCTGGTGAACCTGATCCTGGCCGTGGTCGCCATGGCCTATGAGGAGCAAAACCAAGCCACCATCGCTGAGACTGAGGAGAAGGAAAAGCGCTTCCAGGAGGCCATGGAAATGCTCAAGAAAGAACACGAGGTGGGTGAGCAGTGCCACCAAGGAGCCTCTAAGCCCTCACCTGACTGTGGGTGCTTATAGGTGGGGTATATGCTGGGTAAAGCTGGTGCCTGCAGGCATGGTACCTGCTGGGTAAAGCTGGTTCCTGTGGGCATGGTGCAGTCCCTGCTGGGTAAAGGTATTTTCTGTGAATGTGGTATCTGCTGAGTAAAAATTTGGAACCTGCTGGGTTGAGACGTGCCTGTTAGTGAGGAGCCTACTAGGTAAAAGTGACATCTGCTGGGTAAGGTGGGTCCTATGAGTGTGGCTTGTGCTGAGTAAACTTGTTCCTATGGTCATCCTGTCTTCCAGATGAAAGTGGCGCCAGCTGGGTAAAAATGGTGCCTGCTGGGTGGTAGCTCCTGGGTAAAGATGGTCTTGGTGAGCATAGTGCATGCTGGATAAGAGATCCGTGTGTCCATGCACATAGTTTATTCTGGTCAAGGGATGCCTTCTGGTGGGGTAGTGAAGAAGGTCCAATGTCAGAGAACAGAGCTATCTCAGAAAATAAGCACTGACAATGCTGCCCTAGCCATCCCCAGTCCCCCACATGGTGGAGCCTGGAGGCTGGCTATAGAGTGAGCTATTAGAAGCCAGGCTGTGGGCACCCACTTGTTCTTCTCACTGCCCCATGCCACATCTTCCAGTACACTGTTGGCCAGCTAAACCTTCTAGGAGAGCCTCTGCCCTCTGGTTCTGCCACTTCTCTGCTCATCCACACCCACCTCCCACCTGTTTCGCACACTCCCCTCTTCCAAGACTGCCTACTTTAGCCACTCCTATTTTCCTTCCTGGATCTTGATCTTTCCCAAAATATTCTGGGTCTGTCTGAGTTTATCTCCATGATGTCCTCATTTTGGAGTAGGTGTGCAAGTCCACTTACTGTTAGAGAAATCCAAGTCACTGAGAGTTGCCTGGCCTGCCTGAGCCTGAGGCTGCACAAAGTCTCAATGATGGAAACGTCCCTTCCTCCACTCTTTTCCAGGCCCTCACCATCAGGGGTGTGGATACCGTGTCCCGTAGCTCCTTGGAGATGTCCCCTTTGGCCCCAGTAAACAGCCATGAGAGAAGAAGCAAGAGGAGAAAACAGATGTCTTCAGGAACTGAGGAGTGTGGGGAGGACAGGCTCCCCAAGTCTGACTCAGAAGATGGTCCCAGAGCAATGGTAATCCCAGCTGTGGTTCTAGCTTTTCTAGGGTGGGTCTGGCATGAAAAGCCCATCATGCTAGGCTCCTGTACAGTCACAGCCCCCACGGTTGCTCCTCTCTGCCCTTCCTGTTTCCCATGGCCTTCCTTAGAGTAGGGGAGCTCTGGGCAGAGGGACAGGCTAGTTTTGGGTGTTGTGATATCCCCAACCTGAGGCCAGTATCCCAGCACTGGAGCTGGGGCCGGGGGACGAGGCCCCATGGTATGGGTTGGTAGGAGTTCAAGGACATGCCCATAAGAGTGAGGGGCCATTCCGAGTGCCCCAGGTCCTGCTCAGACCGGGCCTATCTGCAACACCAGGAGCCTTCCTGCCTCCTTCTCCCTTACCCAACCTGAGCTCTAACTCCAAGCCCAGTTAAGTTTCAGGCTCCCAGCTCCAGAGACATAGATTTGAGGGGAGTAGAGATCCCAGAAGATACAGGATTATCTCTAACCCCACATCGCCTCTTCCAAGTACCCCTGGCCCAACCCACCCAGTTCCTGTGTGGCAAAAAAAAAGCCGTCAATGCTCCGAGAAGTTTGGCTGAGGCCAGTGGCACAAAAGACAGGCTGGGAGCACATGAAGAGCACATGTCATGGTCGTGTCCCCTCTCCTCGTGCCCTTAGAATCATCTCAGCCTCACCCACAGCCTCAGCAGGACTTCTGTGAAGCCACGTTCCAGCCGCGGGAGCATTTTCACCTTCCGCCGGCGAGACCTGGGTTCCGAAACAGATTTTGCAGATGATGAAAACAGCACAGCGGGGGACAGCGAGAGCCACCACACATCACTGCTGGTGCCCTGGCCCCTGCGCCGGACCAGTGCCCAGGGACAGCCCAGTCCTGGAACTTCGACTCCTGGCCACGTCCTCAATGGCAAAAAGAACAGCACTGTGGACTGCAATGGAGTGGTCTCCTTACTGGGGGCAGGTGACCCAGAGGCCACATCCCCAGGAAGCCACCTCCTCCGCCCTGTGATGCTAGAGCACCCACCAGACACGGTGAGCCAGCCCCGAGATGCAGGAACCAGGGCAGTTCTGGTCTCTCAAACCGATCACCAGTGCCAAGTCCAAAAATACTCACCAAATATTTGTTGAGCACCTGTTATGTGCTGGGCTCTAGGTGCATAAACTTACAAAAAAATCTCTGCCCTCATAGAGCATCCATGCTAATGGGGACGGACAGACAAAAATCAAAGGAAAGCCAGGTGCAATGAGGCACGCCTGTAATCCCAGCACTTTGGGAGGCCAAGGTGGGGAGATCACGTGAGGTCAGGAGTTCCAGACCAGCCTGGCCAACATGGTAAAACCCCATCTCTACTAAAAATACAAAAATTAGCTGGGCGTGGAGGTGCATGCCTGTAATCCCAGCTACTTGGGAGGCTGAGACAGGAGAATCACTTGAACTCAGGAGGCAGAGGTTGCAGTGAGCTGAGATCACGCCATTGCACTTCAGCCTGGGCAACAGAGTGAGACTCCATCTCAAAAAAAAAATCAAAAAAGAAAAAATGTCTATATTGTGTGTGATGGGGATAAAGAAGGATAATAGTTAAATATGTCACAGCTAGTAACGCTGCCATGACCATCATCTGGGAAAGCCTGTTCTGGGCACAAGGAACAGCAAGCGTGGAGGCCCTGAGGCAGAATCTGCCTGGCCTGTTGGAGGAGATGCCATGAGGTCAGTTTGGCTGGAATAGAGGGAGCGACGGCGAGAGAAGTTGTAGTGACTGCTCCAAAGGTGATAGGAAGGGACTGGCCAGATTGTGAAAGGCCAATCAGAACTTTGGTCACTTAGTCAATCCTATGACAGACTCATGGCTGCCCAATCAGCCATCAGGTGTCCTTGCGGACCCCGGGCCCCCAACACAATGACCAGAGCAGCCCACCCAGGAAAAAGCTGAACATCTGGCTCAGCCCCCAAGGCCTGCAGGGTGCACTTGGAGAGGAAGGTAGAGCGGATGGGAGGCTTGACCAGGAAGGTGGAGGGTGGCCTGAAGATGCAGGGCTCCCAGCCGCATGGCTTATTTCATGTCACTCAGACTCTTGCTCAATCTGTGGAACATGGTACAGGTTAATTAATCTCTTTGTGCCTCAATTTCCTCATCTGTAAAGTGAAAATTATACGCCAGCAAGTTGTGGTGAGGACTGAAAGAGTGCAACTAGGTCCAGTGTTGAGACCCGGACTTGCCTGGTGTTGGAGTCATCAGTATTATCTGTTATCGGTATTAGTGAGCAGGAAGGAGTGAGGTTCCTGGGGCACATTGCAGAATGCCCAGGGTCCCACACTCCTCTGGAGCACAGTGTGAAGGGAGGAAACTGGGCACCCCTGGGGGCAGACCACAGCTTTAGGTAAAGCTGGGGAGGCCCTGGCCCATCTGAAGGGTGGGGTGTCTAGCTTCCAGGAACACTAAACCAGGCAGGTTCAGCCCTGGAGCTTCAGCCTCATGGAATCAGGTCAGCAGCTGCGAGCGCTAATAGAATTTCCTAATCTCGTTAAGGAGAAAATCATCTCATTGTACTGCACATGTCGGGAGGAATCCAAGTTCAAGCACTTCATTACCAGGAATTCTGACTTCACCCATTCTCACTTCTGTGGGGCCCATTTGTAACCTTAAAGGGATTAGCAGGCCAAGACAGGGTCATTTGCAAAGTTAAAGGAATTAGCGAACCAAGATGGAGACATTTGAAGAGTCAAAGAGATTAGCAGGCTGCAGGCGCTGGGAATGCCTTCTGTGCTTTCACTGGGTCCCCAGTGACACATTCCTCCTGCCCAGTTCTAGTCTGAAAACAGAGCACAGTGTTGGGCACCCTGTGGATGCCTAATCAACAAGGATGGGGAGGAAGGGCCAGCCCAGCAGACAGCTCACGTTCAGTTTATCCAGATTGGGAGGTAGGGACTGAAGACTTACTTTGCCCTCTGCTTGTATGAGACTTCCTGGTTCCAAAAGTCTAGATGTAGGTGGGAGAAGCACACTGAATATCCATTCCTTTTCTCCCCCTGCATGTTAAATATTCATCCTCATTTCCTGTGGCCACCTCAGTTAGGAACAGAGCTGGAACTCTAACCCAAGCCTTCTGATTGATTCCCAAGAATTTATCCATCTAATATTTATCTAGTGCCAGCCTGCCATGTGGAGTGCCAGGCAGTGTTGAGACTCCAGGGTTATATCAGCAAACAAAGAAGGCAAGATCACTGTCCTCTTGGAGTTTATACCATAGTTAGGAAGACAGTAAACTAATCAATATTTTCAGGTAGCAATAAGTCATGTGATAGCAAGTTGCTAAGGGGAGGGATGAGGATGAGGGCTATTAGAATACTTGGGAAAGGCCTTCCCAAGGAGGTAACATTAAAATTGACAGGCAAATGATTTTAGGGAGCCAGCCCTAAAGATGCAGAGGAATAGCATTCAGATAGAGGGAATAGCAAGTGCAAAGCCCCGGAGGAGGACACATCCAAGGGATGAGAGTGACTGACAGGGCCAGGTGTGGTGAAACGTTAAAATGAGTTTCCTGAGTTAGGATTTGGACTGTGCAGGACCTTCTAGACCATAGAAAAGTTTGGATATACTGTGTGAGTCAGATGGGGAGGAGTAGGATGGGAGGAGTTGTTGAACAGAGGAGTGACATTATCTGATTCACTTTTTAAAGGAATCCCTTTCTACTATGCAGAGAATAGAGGGACGAGAAGAAGAAAAGAAGCCAGTTAGGAGGCTGTTGTAGTGGTTTTGGGAAAGGGAGGATGACCACCTGGACTAGGAAAGTGTATTAGTCAGCTACTGTCATCATAACACTGTGTAGCAAACTACCCCAGAAGTCAATATCTAGCAACAAGCCTTTATTCTCATGCTCACTCATCTGCAGGTTGACTACAGCGTGGCCCTTGTAGGTTAGGCTTAGCTGGGAAGCCCTGCTCCAGACTGCACGCTGGCTGGGCTGGGCTCCATGATGTGGGTTAGGCTCAGGGCTGCTCCACGTCTTTGTTCTGAGGCCCAGGCTGGAAGGGTGACAGCTACCTGGGGAAGCTCTTTTCATGGAGAATTCCTGGAGCACAAGAGCAAGATAAACAGCACTAGCCCAGTTGAGGTTTCTGTTCACAGCGTGTCCACTAACATTCTGTTGTCCAAAGAAAGCCATTCATGCCCAGGGCAGGGAAGTTTAATTCACCCTCAGTGGGAGGGGAAAGAGAGTGCATATGTGCCAAGTGATAACCAAACTATCATAGATGGCAAAGAAGGAGGGGAGAAGTTGGGAAAATTTAAAACTTGCTTGTGAGTTAAGCTGGCCAAATTCATGGTTGCGTTGGACCCAGGGTAGTACCATTGCACCAGCCACCTCAGCCCTCTCAGGTGCCTCCACTTGAATACTTCCATGACTTGGAGTTCACTACCTCCCTAGGCAACATTTCAGAGCAGTCCTACCAATGGCCGGGATGTCCTTAACTTGAGCCCAGATCTATTTGGTGCCCACCCTATGCCCTGCTTCTTCTACCCTGGGTAGTCTAGGCCCATCTTCCCTCTGCCCTGCGAAGATTACAGAGTCTTGCTATTGCGTGCTGAACAGCTCAGCGCCTGGGCTGTGGTCATGCAGGGCCCTGCTGAAGTGAAGGCTTTATTGGCCCTCCTTGGTTCTGTGGGAGGCTCCAGGTAAGCCTAGAGAATGCCTGCCTGCCACCTCCCTTCACCAGGGCTGTTTCCAGGCCTGGGTTTTATACTGATAAAAATGGTGCATGCATGGTGAAAACAAACCCCACAGTGCAGAAGTGAAAAGGGAACTTCTCCCTCTCTTTCCCCTCCCCCACAATCCCATTCCCCAGATATGTCCACTTTAATCATTTGGTATGCATTTTCCAGATCTTTTTCTTGTTTTTTCATCAAACTGTTTGCCTTGGAGATGTCCCCATGGGAGCATACAAAGAACTGCCTCATTCTCTTTGTTGTCTATCAGAGCCCAGAGTTGGATTGTGTCTATAATTGATTTGAATATGGTTGCTATTGATTGGTTGTTTTGTTCTTATGGTATTAGAAACAGTGCTGCAATGAACATCATTTATGTGTTTTTTTGATGCATATATGTAACTATTTATGAAGTTAGATTAGCAGATGAGGACTTGGAGGGCCAATTTAAAATTTTCTTGGTAAATACAGCCTAACTGCCCCCACAAAAGACACAGCCTCCCACCAGCCACGTGTAAGCATTGTACTTTATCCTTCTATTAGCATTATCTTAGAGCATGTTAGATTTTTTTTTTCAGCTTCTTTATGCTCTTGACGCTAGGAAGCTTGTGGTCAATTAAGACTCCCAGATCATTTTTGCATGTACTAATGTGTATGACAGCATCAGGCTCAGGGAGGACCTGTGATACATGTAGCTTCCTGACCACACTCAGGAATCACTGCTGATGAGAGGCAGTGAAGAAATGAGAATGAAGGAGACAGTGATTGGCAGGAGGGGTGGAGGGAGTTCTTAACTGGGAGGGAGTTGGGAACAGAGAAGCCCAGCATCCAGTGTCCCATCAAGACCTTCATCTTGATGGCATCCCCAGCCTGAGTCTGGACTGGCCACCCCAGCTCCAGCAGGACTAGAGCTAGAGGCAGGACCCCTTTCCCCAGGCTGACGCACATCTCCTGATTGCACTCAGACCACACCATCGGAGGAGCCAGGTGGGCCCCAGATGCTGACCCCCCAGGTTCCATGTATAGATGGCTTCGAGGAGCCAGGAGCACGGCAGCGGGCTCTCAGCGCAGTCAGTGTCCTCACCAGCGCACTGGAAGGTCAGCATCCCCAGGTCATTTAAATACTCCCCACCTCTGCTGCAGGCACCCTTACCTTCATCCCAGCCTGATCCGGGCATCCCCCATTTGTCTTGGCCTGCTTTGGACATCCCCACACTGTCCCAGCCTTCTCTGTTCTGTGGAGCCTTGCCTGTCCTTCCGTCACTTCTCATCTGTTTCAGCTTGTTCTCTCCTGGGCATCACTATGTCTATGTTTCTCCCAAACACTCCCACATCTGGCCTGTCCCAGATGCTTCTCAGTCTCATTCCATCGTCTCCCAACCATAACCATGTTGTCTAGGACCATCCTGTCCGGAGCACACCCGTATCTGTTCTAGCTATTCCCGTATCTACTTCAGGCTCTTCCAGGCATCCCACATCTTTCCCAGCCATTCCTGCCCTAGGCAACTCCACATCCCTTCCAGTCTGAATTTGGCACCCCCCGTCCTGATCTTGTTCCCTCCTATCTCAGATGTATTCTCATCTTTTCCAGCCAGTCCTCGGCATCCCCTCTCCCATTTGTCCTGACACATCCCAGATGTCCACATCTGTCCCTACCCATTCTGTCCCAGGTGTCCTTGTGCCCGAACTTGCCTGTCCCCATTACTGTTTCATCATTTTCAGCCTGTCCTCCCCTGAGTGTCCCCAGGTCTGTGTGGGACTGTTGTCTTAAGCAGTTGTACGTTTGTCCTAATAATCTCTCCTGTCCCCATTTTCCCCGCCTCCATCTTTGTTTCCTGTCCCTATGGCCCTCTTCTCTCATATTTCCAGACTAAGGAGCCAAGACACAAGCCACCCATTCCCTCGGCCTTCACTGCCCCCACTGTCCCACTGTCATGTAGTAGCCCTGTCATCTCCCAAAGCAAGTCATAAATCTTTTCTGGAAGGTATTCCAGATACATATGACTCAGTCAACAGAATCAAACTAACTCACTGGCTGTCCCCTCAGAGTTAGAGGAGTCTCGCCGCAAGTGTCCACCATGCTGGAACCGCCTCGCCCAGCGCTACCTGATCTGGGAGTGCTGCCCACTATGGATGTCCATCAAGCAGGGAGTGAAGTTGGTGGTCATGGACCCGTTTGCTGACCTCACCATCACTATGTGCATCGTGCTCAACACACTCTTCATGGCGCTAGAGCACTACAACATGACAAGTGAATTCGAGGAGATGCTGCAGGTCGGAAACCTGGTAAGAGCCACCTGCAGCTGGCTATCAAATGGGCATCCTGGCAGGAAGGAACCTCGGGCAGCTGGCACAGCCTTCATGGGTAAGGGAGAAGGGATCCTGCACACAGAAGGATCTTTTGAGGGTGGGAATCGTCATAGAAGACATCTTGGAGGAGGGAAGGAATCTCAAGGTCAGCTTCTAAGGAGCTGAGAAATGTAGATTTGGAGTGGGAGGGTGGAGTGAAAAGTTTATGCAGATGTTCACAGTCTAGAAAACAAAAGTGAGCTGAGGGTAAACCTGAAATGTGTGGAGACTTGAGATTTTGTAATTTGTAGATGGAGGAGAGTGTGTGCAGGAGGTAGTTCTCTTATGGACCGAGCTTGCATCAGTGTTGTTGGATGGGGGAAATTGTGGATGAATGGTTGGATAGAAGGAGGGAAAGATGGAGGGATGGGTGGGTGGGTGGATGGATGGATGGATGGATGGATGGATGGATGGATGGGTGGATGGATAGCTGGGTGTAGTAAGTAAATCAGGCAGAGCCAGATTTGAATTCTGACTCAGCTCTTACTAACTAGCTGATCTCAAGCAATTTACTCAGTAATTGGCCCAATAAATATTTGTTGAATTCAATAAATGGGAAATTAGTATGACAATATCAACCTCATAGGAAGGTAATGAGGATTGAATAAGATAATATCTATAATCTGCTTGGCTCATAGATTGATAAGCAGTAAGCACTCAAAACAAATGATAGCTGTGCTATTGTTGTTGTTGTTAGATTGCTCCTGGAAGTCAGAATGTCTGGGTTCTAATTCCGATTTTTTTTTTTTTCTTGATACTAAATCAAGTCCTGCCTCTTTATTATACAGATAGGGAAACTGAGGCCCAGAGACTGGAGGGATGACATGGCAGGGGCAGAGTTGGGCATCTCTCAACTCCCAGGACAGGTCCATATTGGATCAGTCCAGGTAAACAGAGTCAGCTCGTCTTTAGAGGATCCCAGGGCAGAGTTGCCATGAGCCCACTGGCCTCAAAAAGGAGCTTCTGAGATCACCACTGAGGTTGGTGTGAGGATGGTAGGGGGACTTCTGGCCCTATTTGATCTAAGCTTGCTCTTACTGCAGACCCAGCCTGTCTCAGGCCCAGCTGTTCAAGTGACCCCCATAGGCAGGTAGGTCTCTCACGCTGTGGGGTATGAGGATTTTCTTTTCTTCTTACTTTCCAAACCCAGGACTCTAGATAGTTCTCTGCAGGGCCTATTGAGATTTTTTTCACCAATTTGAGTCCACTTGCTGTAATTTTACTTTTCTTTCCTTCTATGTGCAAACAGAAGGGAAAGCTACGTCTCCGTGGGTAGAAGTCTCATGGCACTGTTGGGAATGTTGGGTAGTCTTCAGATGGTAGTTATGCAGGGTTTCAGTTGAGTGTGGTTTTATCAGGTTGTGACCATTGGGTTGGACTGAGCAGCAAGTTAGGTGTGATGAACAGCACTGGTGGCTTCACTGGGTCAGCAAGTTGTGGCCGAACTGCAGTTGTATTAAACTTATCGTTAAATTATAGATAATAGGCAGTATAGTTGGGTTATAGCTATTTTGTTCTGTTTGTATAGCTTTATTGCTAGTATGTAAGGTTTTGATTTTATTGCATTTAATATATTCTAGGTAGTTTAAATATTAAGTGTTAAGAAACAATACCCTAAAAATAAGCATGAGTAAATAATCAGCTTGGGAAAAGCCTTTCTAAGCATGTATCTGAAGACAAATTCCATAAAGGAGAAGATTGATAGATTTAACTAACTTTTTAGCCCATCACACAAATAAAGATAAAAGGCAAATGAAAATTCTGTTTCTAGCAATATTATGGACAAGAAAATCTGAAAAGTCTTCTATTAATAAACAATTTAAAATACAGCAAACAGTCTTTGAATTACATAGCTAAGTGCATGAGAAAGTATAGTAGTTCCTCTTATCCACAATTCTGCTTTCCATGGTTTCAGTTACCCATGGTCACCCATGATGTGAAAATATTAAATAGAAAATTCCAGAAATAAACAATTCATTAGTTTTAAATGGCACACCGTTTTGAGTATTACGATGAAATCTCACACTGTCTTGCTCCATTCTGCTCGGGGACATGAATTGTCCCTTTGTTCAGCGTATCGTGCTCTATATGCAACCTACCCATTAGTCATTTACTAGCGATCTCTGTTATCAAATAGACTGTTGTGGTATCACAGTGTTTGTATTCAAGTAACCCTTATTGTACTTAATCGTTATTCTCCAAAGCAGAAGAGTAATGATGCTGGCAATACAGATGTGCCAAAGAGAAGCCAAATACATAACAAAGAGAAGTTGTTCATCTCTTATTGTGCCCAATTTATAAATCAAACTTTATCAGAGGTATGTAGATTTAGGAAAAGGCATAGTATATATAGGGTTCAGTAATATCCATGGTTTCAGGCACTCACTAAGAACCTTGTTGGAATGTATTCCCCATAGATAAGGATAAGATAAGAGGGGGCTACTGTAACGGAAACCCGAAGTGCCAAAAACAAAAAGAAGCTTAAAAACCATAGCAGTAAACTTGTGAAATGGCTCTGTAGCTGCCGCAGGTAGGGTGGAGAGGTGTTGATTTGCATAATCTGGAGGCTTGGATTTTAATGAGCATGTAGAGACAAGACACTCAACCTTGGGACAGTGTGAGTAGGGGTCGAAACTGAGTAGCCCCATAAGAATATGACCATACATTCAGTAAAATGGTGATCCAGAAAAAACCTACACACAAACCCTGGGAAATGATAAAGAAGCCCTGTCTTAGCCAGGGCTGGAAAGGAAAAAAGCAACCCCTGAAAGGCTGTGACTATAGATTTGGCCTCATACAGATTTGGGGTTCATATTTACACCCGAGTAGTCCTGGAACCTACATCTAAAAAATTAACATAGAAAGTGATCCTAGAATAATGTCTTGGGGCCACTAAAAGGGAACAAAACTTCTCTGGAAGGACACACCTTTAGCCCAGGTCAAGCTGGATTTCCCAAATTATAAAACACAGAAGGAAATATTCCACCATGAGGAAGAGTCAGCAGACACACACACACACAGACACAATCAGGCTATCCCCTTAAAAATGTCATATAGTAGAATTGCATGATAGAGATGATAAAAATGTTCATAATTGGCCAGGCGCGGTATTTCACACCTGTAATTCCAGCACTTTGGGAGGCCGAGGCGGGCAGATTGCTTGAGCTCAGGAATTCGAGACCAGCCTGGACAACATGGCAAGACCCTGTCTCTACTAAAAATACACAAAAATAGCCAGGTGTGGTGGTGTGCACCTGTGGTACTAGCTACTTGGGAAGCTGAGGTGGGAGGATCACTTGGACCCCCAGCAGGGCCAAGATTGCAGTGAGCTGAGATCATATCACTGCACTCCAGTCTTGGTGACAGGACGAGACTCTGCTCAAAAAAAAAAAAAAAAAAAAGTTCATAATAGCCAGAGACATAAAATAAGAGATTAAAAACATAAAAAAAAATACAGCTTTGAAAAGGAATCAAATAAAATCTCCATAAATGAAAAATATAGCCATTGAGATTAAAATTTCAATGTACACATCAAATAGCATATTAATACAGTTGGGGAGATAATTAAATGACTGTAAATTTAGATCTAATACAGTTGCCCAGAATGTAATATAGAGAGATGAAGAGAAGAAATAGAAGAAAGAAGGAAGAAAAACATATCTGACATTATTTTCCAGATTATGTTGTTGTCTATTTAAATCATTTTAGAAAATCTACAGAGAGGCTGTTAGAACTAATACGAGAGTTCAACAATATTAGTGGGTACAGCTTCAGTATTCCAAATAGTGTTCCTAGTCACCATCAACAATCAACTGGAGAAAATAAATTTTTAAAGTTATCACTTATGATCGCAATAAAAACTATGAGAAATTTAGCGATAAATATAACAAAAGATATGCAAATTTCATGAAAAAATATGAAACTGCCAAAAAACATAAAAGAAGACATAAAAGTGGAGCGATGTGCCATTTTCATGAATGAAAGTATGACTATTGTAGAGATACAAATTCTTCCCAAATTAACCTATAAGTTCAATGTAATTCCAGTCAAAATCTCAATACTTTTTTTAATGGAACTTGACAAGATAATCCTAAAACTCATATAGAAAGTAAAGCAGATCAAGACAAATTAAGGACTAAGGTAGGGAATTTACCATAGTATGTTAAGATATCTTAGAAAGCTAAAAATATTATAGTATTGGTGCAGGGATGGAAAAAAAGATTGTGCTACAGAATTGAGAACACAGAAGTAGAACAATCCATATTTGGTAACTTGATAAATAACAGAGATGGTATTATAAATCAGTAGGAAAAGGCCAGGTGCAGTGGCTCATGCCTGTAATCTCAGCACTTTGGGAGGCCAGCCGAGGTGAGCAGATCATCTGAGGTCAGGAGTTAGAGACCAGCCTGGCCAACATGGTAAAAGCCTGTCTCTACTAAAAATACAAAAATCAGCTGGGTATGGTGGCATGCACCTGTAGTCCCAGTTACTCAGGAGGCTGAAGCAGGAGAATCACTTGAACCTGGGAGGTAGAGGTTGCAGTGAGCTGAGATTGCACCACTATACCCCAGACTGGGTGACAGAATGAGACTCTTTCTCAAAAAATAAAATAAAATAAAATAAAATAAATCAGTAGGAAAAGGATGGGACTGTTTAATAAACGATGCTGGGAGAATGGTTATCTGCATGGAAGAAAATCAATTTAGATCCCTACCTCACATCATATTCATAAATTAGATGCAGGGGAATTGTACTTAACACCTAAATGTGATAAAGCAAAACTTTAAAGTTTTTGGAATAACAACAGGAGAAAAAGCTTTAAGATCTTGGGGTTGGGAAGGCCTTCAATAATCCAAAAAAGCTTACATCATGAAAGAAAAGATTGCTAAATTATAAATTGTTAAAATTTGTAATCTCTGTACAACAAGGGATATTAC